CAACATATTCTGTTACACCAAATACACAAAATAATGATCTTTAAAAAAGCATCATATGACCCCTTTAAATTTTCTTTATGGAACCAAATCATTTGACAACGAGTCAGACTAACTGAAATAAGCCTGGCTTATTTGGTTACCTTGTTTTATGAAACAGGCCTCGAGGCATTAAAAGTGATCATATTTTCTCGATTGCATCATATTGCATCGAGTCGCATTGTTTAATCGAATCGAAATTGGATCGCACTGCGTCGTAACAGGGGTGAATCGTATCACATCGCATCGGTAGCTGCTTCATATCTATCTTTAATGTATCGTATCGTTGGCTATGCATCGAGATGCGTATCGTATAGGCCTGAGTCATGAGATGCACATCCCTAATATATATATATATATATATATATAATAAATGTTTGTAAAATGGCACAGTTTTTTAAATATCTGAAAGTACACTCTTAACATCAGTCAGTCAAGCATTATAATATGATAATCAATATTATTTAATGATAGAACTTTAGTAATTAAAATTAAAAATTGATAACCATGTATGAATGCATATTAGTCATTTTAACTGAACTTTTGACTGGTGGTGGTGCCTTTTTGGTCATTCAGTGTTTCTGTAAAAAAAAAAAAAAGGGAAAAAATGAACAAAAATACTGATAAGATAATATTGATACGAATTTACTAATAAGAACAATATAAAACGCACTAAGGATTAATGAGCTGCTGGATTCATGAATATTAATCAGGTTGTGTGCTTCGCTCGAACTGATTTGCTGAAATCAAAACAGGGACGCTAATAGGTCAGCATCAGACAATGAGATTGCCGTTTGCGCAATTGGTTCCACCCACTACCGGAGAAAGCGGCAGTTCTTAAAAGCTGAAGAATTCCAAAGGAAAGCTGTTATTTTGACAGGAAAATACAACAAAGAATATCGTTTACATGAAATGCGTAAATTTTCTCTTTCTCTCTCTCTGCGTGTGTGTGAAACAAAGCGAGTCGTGTTCCTTCACTCTAGAGTTCACGGTACGTTAAATACAGGTGCGTTGCACATCCATTCAGATGAACTGAAAAATAGCACATCGCATGACAGAGAGTGAAACTCTGAAGCGCTCAGTCAGAGAATGTTCGGCGAGTGAAAATATATCTGTGCTAAACTTATACTTAGCCTCCAGCTCACACACTGGCGAGTAAAATCTGAGAATTTATTAGCCATTGACTATTATTGGACATAATTTAATCGCCCAGAGTGAATATTTAGTCGCATATGCGAGTGATTTACTCGCAATGTAGAGGGTTGTTACTAGAGCCCGACCGATATGGGTTTTTTGGGGGCCGATACCGATATTAGGGAGTAAAAAAAGGCTGATATAGATATATCGGTCGATATTAATTTGTGTATATTATAGTACAGTACCAGTCAAAAGTTTGGACACTTTCCCATTCGTGTGTTCAAACTTTTGACTGGTACTATATATAGAATACAGTATACATAAACAGAATATATATACATTAGGGATGCACGATATTATCGTACTGATATCGGAATCGGCCGATAATGGCTTTAAATATAAATATCAGCATCGGCCCGATATGAAAAATTATGCCGATATGTCTTGCCGATACGTTAACTCACATGTGGAATGCGTTAACTCACATGTGCTCAGGGTGTGCTAGTGATTAGATCACGTCAGCAGTGTGGCTCATTCTTGAAGCAAAGTTTTGTCTGAATGATGATTAGATTGACTGTTTGGATCGCTGCATTTAATCTGTGAAAGCACGTACAGAATGACGTGTTCGGTGTGTGATAGAGTAAACAGTAATAGCATGTGCAGTGGCAGCAGCGACAGCCTCCCCCGGGTCCTAACGCCTGTTCGGTAAGGTGTTTTAATCTGTAGGGGGCGCTGTAGGCCTACTTCTAATTAAATTAAAAGTAACATAGCCTACACAAATAACATTTAGACCAAGGGTGTCAAACTCAGTTCCTGGATGGCCACAGCCCTGCACAGTTTAGATATAACCCTAATTAAACACATCTGATCCAGCTAATCTAATCATTTAGGCTTCTTTGAAAACTACATGGTATGTGTGTTGGAGCAGGGTTGGAACTAAACTCTGCAGGGCTGCGCGCA